GACGGTGGCATGGCCCGCATTTCTGGTGGGAGTAAAGAGAAAGCCTTGCACCACTCTCACTCTCCAACCCGATCCCACTCCCCTCCCTCAAGAGTGTTTTTGTGCCTATTTAGTGACTTTCTTCTTGTGTAACATTTCTGTATGTATCATGCCTGTAGAGTGGTTGCCTTTTTTATATCTCTGCACGCGGATATGCACGTAATTCCATGGATGAATGAGTAACCAACATTAGGTTATAATTTAAAGCGTGACTATGTTTATCATGAAGATAAGAAAAACTTCTTTTGGATGGATAAATGAATGACCACCATTAACCTGTTAACTTTGTCACTAGCGTGGGACCACAAATCAAAAGTTCAGCAGTGCTTACAAGTGTGGGTGTTGACTTGTAAAACCTGAATTCACGAAGAAAATTTCACATGATTTTGCGAAATGAATCAACTTGTGAAAGTTAGATCAGCTTCAACTGTCAGATACAGACAGGTTCTGTTGCCCTGGATCAGTGTGAGACAGATCTACGTGTTATCGATCTATAAAGCAAGCAATTTCGTACCTCTTCACAGCTCACTAGCGCCCAGTCCTTTTTTAAGACCACATAGGCGAGACTTTACCCGATCGTTCAATGGAAAGTATTCTGCTTACTTTCCTATCTTTTCATGCAGTTACAAATTGTTCAGAACACTTTTTCTTCATTTGTAAGCGAAGACAGATTATTAACATACATTGGAAAAAATGTAATTACTTTATTGACACAACAAATTTACAGATGAATATTTCACATATACGGATTCAAAACTTTTGTAGGACAATTTGAAGGCTCCGTCGAAACAACTAATAGTAATTGCTTAGAAAGTTCATAAAGTAAATAGACCAATATGACCCTGTTATGCCGGATATGCTGATGCAGTATATATCTCAGCAGTTGATTACAGTTGAAAACATGTTGGTTTATATAAAAATCGTTTATGTGCTCCTAACAAATTATGGAATTGAAAAGACTCTAGCCTCAACTAATCTATGGTGCACATGAACAAGCTGTGTTATATCTCTTTCCTTCCTCTGTAATGAATTTGGACGGCACATTTCCTCTGTTTGTTGTTGTTTGCCATTGTGCTAAAAAATGCGGTTGAGGAAGACGTAATCTTTTTACAAATGTGAGCAGTTACTTTTTTGCCGCTCGGCAAAGTGTAGGAAAGAAGGGGTTTTCTTTTGTCTGTATGCGGCAGCACCCTCCTCGAACGGGACTCCTCCATCTTGAATTCTGCGCATGACTTTGTCAGAATCAGTTTCTCGGCCATTTCCACAGTGAAGAAAAATTGCGAGATAACGTCGAGAACCTAAAAAATAAAGCTCTCTTCTCAACTCACCATCACCGTTATGTATTACGATAGCATTCACGGCCAATAAATTGCTTGTGAGTAGAGATATAAGAAAAAGTCTTTTGCCTTTTAAAAGTATTTGTTAATTATCAAACCAGACATGATTAAACCTTTGCGTTATTGCCAGGGAAAGGGATTACAAAAATATATATTTATGATTGAAAAATAATAAAACAAGAGTCGAGGTATTCTTACAAATACGTTATACATGAACAGAGGGCATTAACATTTTACGTTGTAAGCCTCCATTGCTCCGCAATACCTTGTTATATACCTGCTGCTTTGTTTAATTTCTTCCTTTCCTTGTTTCCGTGGAGTTGATTTTGATGCTTGGAGAAGTTTCTCTCCCCTTAAATACAATTTTTCTTTCTCCTATCTAAACAGTTCCGTTCAGCGTTCCATTCTCTTTAATGTTGTTTTACTACTAACAGTTTCGATGATAATAACATTTCTTTGATCGATCAATTAACCTAGTTTGTTAATGTATGTTTAGAAAAAGGATGAGCAAATAAAATTGTTCAATTGAAGAAACGAGAGTGTTGACAGGCACATCTTACCGAATAAAATCGAGGCTGCAGTTTTGTTATTAGAAACCTGTTTAGTGTATAGATATTCTTTATGATTTCTTCAGCCTCTTGAACAGTTTCAGCGTAGAAAGATTCTTAATTACATGACACGAGAAATAGAAATCAATTTTAATGCAGTTTAGTCTATTTGTTCCTCGATTTCAATAGTGCGTAAAAA